ATTTCCTAAAAAATAGTACCAGAATACGGTAATAAGAAACGCAATGCTGTGAAGTCTATAGGCTAGAAAGGAAGTTGCAACAATGACGACTTTCTCTTCCAGTGAACTTGCAGTTTGTTATTCGTAATAGCCATATTTCATGATAATTTCAGTACACTACTGAAAAATTACTGTATTACTTAGCACAACAGTTAACATAAAGTTAAACTCGACACATAAAACAGTCAAACCCGACCGATATGATCGGGGTCTGATATGGTACGTTGGGGTTTGATATGGTAGGTCGGGGTCTCGTACTGTATGTTGGGGTCTGATATGGGGGGCCTGATATGGTAGGCCACGTCCAACTCTAATAGGAAATACCCGGGGAAATATCATTTGCATTTGAAAAGACTCCCCACATTAGCCTCAGTTGCAAGCTAGTTCCAGTCCAATACCGGGAATACGAATATGGCCTATTTGCATCTTTCTCAATAAAAAAGCCTTTCCGTTCTCAATAACTTCTTCGTAGCAAAATCCAATTATTTCAGTATATTTAATTTCTTCAGACTAAAATGAGATTAAAATCAAACAAAATGCGGTGTGTTAATCTTGAGAAGGAAATTGACGATCAGGATTGCGTTACTGGAATCTCAGTTATCGATAAAATGTTCGGCGATTTCCCAGCTCAGTATCAATTCAAATTTCACCCCATTTTTCAGTTCTCAGCAAGTTTTGCAGATCACACATCTCAGCTGATAGTCAAAAACGCGTCTTTTGTCACCCGTGAGGTGACAGATATATTTTTTACCAACTCTCAGCCACCATTTAACCATCCAGATCCTCGAAATATATCGAAAAGAAAAAAAAAAACCGTTATCTGGCAAGCTAAGTGGCGATAATTTTTTGAGCAAAAAGATTTTTGCGCGCGTGACAGCCATTTGCACAAGATGGATGAAAACAAAATAACAACTTCCGGCTTCCGGCTTCCGATTTTCTTTAAAACTCTTCCGGTCCCTGAGTTTTGCATCCGTTTCCAAGTGAATTAATCAAGAATTGCGTTTCCGCTGCATCTTGGGGAAGTGGAAGTGACAGTGCATTTTAAAGACTAATATATAAGCATTTTTAAGAATTAAGATTAGTCTGAGGGAAATACCAAAGATATAAAAGACCGGTAGTAAGTAATTGCTCGTCGAGAGAATACGGGGGTGTAAAATAATGGTGGGTCTTTAATTAAGTGTCCCAGGGTCGAGCCACGCAAACATTTGATATAGTCACCATAAATAAAACAAAGTTTTTGCCAGAGTTCATTAATATATTGGTTTGTATACTTAAAGCTTTTCTAACTTTTATTTATTTCCTTTCCGTAAAAATTTATTTGTCTTCATGTTATTTTTCCTCAGAGTAAGTAAACTGACCCTTGGCTGCATTAGATCCGGCTTCTTGCTGTGGTTTTGATTTGAATTTTTGGAGTGATGGATTGAAAAGGCCAGACTTATTCTTTTTTTACTTTCGTCTAAACTCTCAAAAAATTTCTTGTTAAAATATTCAGCGTAACCGTATTACATATCTCTTCGATCAACAACGTGACCCAGTTTAAATATTTAGTTTTATTGACTTTCAAACCATTGATATACTTATCGCGAAAAAAGAATCTTGTGAGATCTTAAGGCCCTCTCTTCATGATTAAACGTTTTCGTTTGCTAAAATGAAACTTAAAACCCTTAAAGAATAAAATATTTATTATGAAACATCGATCGATTTCGGTTGCTTAGCACTACAGGGCGAGTGCGTGGAGAATCCAGTTTATAAATCTCACCCATGGTGTTTTTTGTTGTGCTTTCGTTTTGTTCCGATTCAAACCTTTTATTCATAATTCAACAAGCATTAAAAAAAAAAAAAATACTAGCCTATGTACATCCGCCCCCACCCCTCAGAAAAATTGGGGAATAGAGTGATCTTCCAGAATGTCTGAGCAGTTTGAAAACGTTTTCACGACTCATTTTAATACAACCACTTAGAAGAATCTACACGATTTCCTGTTGAATAATTGTGTTTGAACGCATTTTAACCGATATAAGAATAAAACCGCAGTTAATTAAGAACATTTACATTTTCTCAGTTTTGGAAAGACCCGATATACATCTGCACACACAATAACATTTGCTGCCTTTGTTTTGCTTGAAACCAATTGCGTGACCAATTCTTCATTCGTCACGCATTATTGCTACCGGAACATGCTTGCTGGTGACTCATACAGGTGGTGTCGAGAACGGAGAGGAAGTGATTATTACGTTTAAAACTTCCTTTACTAGATATTTCTGTTGACTGTTCATAAATAAAGTTGTCAGCTCACAGCCAGTTCATTCCATTTTGAAACTCGAGCTGAGCTGAGCAGACGAAGGGAAACGCTAAATCCAGTAAATTGTTCAAGAAATGACAACAGCAGGTACCGAGTTTGATTTTTAATTTTTTTATTGACAGAAATGCAGCATATGAGCAATGGAATAATGCATTTTTTGTCTCTCTTTGAGGTAATTATATTTTTGCACTTTTTAAAATGTAATTGTGCATTTTTGCTAACAAGCAAGGAACCGATATAAACTAACGATTTGTCGGTTTCACTCCATTCGGTCCAGTTTGATCAACAATGATGTTTTCAAAATAGCAATTAAGGATATTCAATGGCAAAATTTGAAAAATTTTATGGAGAAGTAGTCGATTAGTTTTTGATATCATCCAAATCTACATTGGCAAAATTTCAAAGCTCATTGTTGAAAGAAATAAGAATTCAGACCAAATACTGTTCGTGGCTATAGAGTTGATCCTACGATCTTGTTTTAAAATAGCAATTAAGGATGTTCACTGGCAAAATTTAAACATTTTATGGAGACATAGTAGATTATTATATATTTTTTTGAATTTATATCTACATTGGCAAAATTTCAAAGCTAATTGCTGAAGGGAATAACAATTCAGAGCAAATATTGTTCGTTGCTAGAAGCAGTTAAACAAATTGAACAGTCTTGTAGTTAATTTATATTAGTTAGTTCTTCGTAAAATAAGTTTGATATAAGACTTTTGAGCCTTAAAAAGGCCAGTCATTTTACTTTCCAGCGATCGCCAGAAGGACTGAATTAGCCATATGTACTGCATATAGAAGTAAAGCACTGATGTGTGGGAGAAAAAAACCAACAGGCTCATGTTTCTTCATGACTTATGTAGACATTAAGTTGAACAGACTCGCAGTTTTCATTTGCCACTTTGTAGTTCTTCGTAAATTAAGTTTGATATAAGACTTTTGAACCTTAAAAAGGCCAGTCGATTTACTTTCCAGAGATCATCAGAAGGAAATTAGGCATACTGCATTTAGAATTGAAGCCAGGATATACGTGGGAGAAAAAATAAAAAAACCGATTAACGTTTCTTTGGGATTATTTAAACCATAATGAAGGTGCGGTGAGCCAGTTAACTCACTGTCGATGATCATAAGGTTCCTAGATACCGAGGGATCTTATATCTATAGAATTTCGGAGTTGATAACAGGAAAATAAACGTCATGCATTTATAGTCTTATTCGGTGTGCCTATGGTGAACAGGTGCTGAGCGATTCAGCCGGACAGTTCGAGCAGACATGGTCTAATCCTGCAGGATCAGTTTGTAATGGTCTCTTTGGCAACTGAAGCACGAATTCAGTGCTAGAAATCTTAAGTAGATTATTGTTCTTGTTTTAAACGTTTTTCGACCACCATTTAGTATCACTAAAGTTATCCTTTACTTAATTTAGTCTCTCTTTGACTCCATGATGTCAAATACTGCAGATAACAGACATTCGAGATACACATATATTATTTCAGAGAATTATTCCAAACTATAAAAGAGCACCATTCTAAACATACAACATACAACCTCGCGCTAGCGAGTGAAAATATATTTCGACGTAATGCGTGCAAAGTGAGCCATGTTACTCTTCTTTCTTCCTGTGTTAAAAAAAAAGAGGGAGTCGAAGAACCTTCTCCCAGAAAATTGGGTAAGTTAATTCTATCCTCGAATCCCCCAGTTAATTCCAGTTTTAACATTATTTCGATGTTAACTGATGTAGTAATTAAGCTTTCGTTAAATGGTCATTGTAATACTTAGCGAAATTAATGTTCTAAAGGCGAATGCAAAGCGTTCAGTGCCCCGAGTGAGAGTTAACTATATTATGATGAAATCTTCCCTTAAATTTCTCTGCAATTTTATTATATGCTTCCCTGCATGGGTGTAATCGTTGAAAGGAACACAGTTAAAGACTAGCAATTACGTTTGCGAAAAGACCCAACAGAGTTTCATATATCTATTCGAAAACAAGCTAATTCAGTGTGCAATTGTGAAATTTCTTGTGTCTTATATAAGTAAGATAACGTACTATTTTTTATGCTTTCATTTTATGCCTAACTATTAGGGTTAGGGTTATGGACGTAATCAGGTGTGGTAAGAAATATTTTGTAAACCCTCGAATCTGCTTCACAGTCCTAGTGAACTTCAAATGTACACAAAATTGGACGGTCCTACTGAGTGCTGGCTAGAAATCTACGACTCTTTTAGGCATAAAGAACAGACTGATATTAAAATTGACTTAGTACAAGTTCAAGTCTGCCCTCGCTAAGCGTACGTGTACTTACGAGCAGCTGTGGAAGCTAAACGGTTATAAAATGGCTACCTGCCTTCTCTGAAGCGGATTACATGATCCTAAGAATAATTTACGTTTTGTTGATAGAGTAATAGAAAAAATTCTGAGACATGAAAAAGTTTGCTATTGGTAAAGCAAAATGTGAGTGAATGTTTCCTATACAATTTTCGTCTTGTTCTTTAGGTAAACCATATCTTTCAAGGCACTTTAATTAATTCAAGGGCTGTGAGAGGTTTCTCGATTCTCTGCTCGCGAAAAGGAAAAACACTATTTGGACCATTTTTATTTCCAGAAATTTCTAGTAATGATATTAATGATGCTAACTTTATTCAGTAACGCATTTTTTTCCCTCTCTCTCGTTTTTACAAACACCTGTAGATGAAGAAATGGAAATTAACAAGTCAAACAATGCAAGAGGTAAACCTCGATATAAAAACATTATTCATTTGTGGGAGTTTCTGCTGGAACTCCTGGCTAATGAGAACTTTTGTGCCATTATAAGCTGGAGTAGAAGAGAGCAAAATGAGTTCAAGTTAAAAAAACCCAAAGAAGTTGCTAGGCGATGGGGGATTCTGAGACGAAAGAAGGGGATGACCTATGAGAAACTTAGCCGATCATTACGATTTTATTATGGTCAAGGAATTATTCAAAAGGTTAGTGATAAAAAGGCTTTAAAATAAGTACAATACAGTAAAAACTTGCGAGCAAGAACCTAGGTTTGTTCAAGTTAACCTCTATAGGTTCTTATATAAATGGTGTTTATTGTGAAGTTAGGCTTCTTAAGTTAATATAAATTCTTATAAAAATGAGTGTATTATATATAAATTAAAAATACACACTGTAGCTGGTCGAAATGACTATAGAGCTGATTAAAAAGTAGTTGACTGGAAATAAACACACAAGTCAGAATATAGGCTTTTCTAAATTATCTAAAAGTAAACATTTTAATTAATGTAAGAGAATACAGAACAGTTACATTTATGTTTTTCCCACTGGGTTTTCTCTGGGCAACAAAATTTACTCTCAAAACGAGGTTTGGGGTAAAATGGCTGGGGAAATCCAAAAGCCGCTTTATCAAAACTAAGCAATTTGTAATTGATATAAAATATTACAATCTATTAGAAACAAATATTCCATTCATAATTCACACACATGTATACAATAAGATGAGGCAATAAAAAAAATTATCAAGTATTAGTAGGTAAATAGCAAAATATACTAATTATAAAAAGAAATTAATAACAATGAATAAAAATGCGAAGTAAATTCAGTGTAGAAACATAAACAGAGTGTAGAATCTGAAATCTCTTATCAGTTTTATTCCACACTTTAGGCCCTAAATTTACCATAGCTTTTTACCTTACCACATGAAAGTACTGCTCAATAGCTTTCATTTGAATCGGGTCACACACTAGGGTTTCATCCACAGACTTAAACGTTAGAACCAAACATACTAGAGTTTTATCTACAGACTTATAAGTTAGAACCATCTTGTACAGCATAATAGCTGTTAATCGAATGCCCTCACACTAAGTGTTCATCTGTAGTCTCAACATGTGCAGTTAGTATCTAAGAACCATCCTGTACTGTAAACAGTACCACATGAAAATACTGCTCAGTATAGCTTTCATTTGAATGATTACGCACTTGTGCAGTTTTCCAGAGTACTCTTGAAACTGCTCACTGAACCACCTTCTCCAGCATTAAATGAAAGTACCATTAAATAACTCAGATAACTTCAACGGTAGGATTTCATCCCCAGACTTAAAATAGAATCACCTTGGGCGGGGTTGTAGGTTTGACTGAAACACATACTATGCATATCTTATTTACCGAGTAAATTAGAACTTGTTCTTGTTGACTTTTTTCGGGTTTTATTTCTTGTGCTCCCGCAGGTTCCTGGCCAAACCTTCACATACAGGTTTGACAAGCTACCTTACAAATATGAGCCAGGAATTACAAGATCTCTTCGTCATGAGCACAAGATGGCTGCAAGCCTCCATGAACAAGAGGAAATTACTCCTGATCAAACTACAACTCAGATAAAACCCAGTTCACCATCTGTCTCTGAACAGACATCATTTCTCCCCACTTGTAGCCCCGGAGAGGATTCCTGGTCACTCGTACCCAAGCCTGCGCTGCCAGTTCGGATGTGTCCTCAGCTGACATCCCAGCTTGTAAACTTGTCCAGTATAACATTACCGACGTCTGTTCAGCCTGCACCTGTTAAACCTGTTTTGAAAACAGGCTTACATGAGTCTTCTGCTAAGTCTATTCCTGTGTCTGTAATTAAAAGAGTACAAACTGACCCAAACGATATCTGTTTCAACGCCACTATAACTAATAGTTCAGTTTGTATTGCAGTCGAACCTCCACCAAACATAACTCTCTACAATACCCACAATATTGATAATTGAAAAAATAGTTGTTATCATTCGATCACAAAGTCATGTGTCGTCTATTATTTATCAAACTCCTTCTTATAAAAAGGTTTGCTAATCACTGTCCATTTGTAAAAATAAAATAAATAAATCACCTTTTCAAGTGTTAAAGCTTTTAGCACTACTTTGCTAATTGGGGGACACTGAAACAATCAAACAAATATTGTAAATTAAACAGAAACTTGTTAAAACTCTCAACTGGCGGGAGGATGACCAGTTGGTTATTTACAAAGCGTGGAGGAGCTGAATCTGGGACAACCAAACACAAATCCATCTAGTGGCAGGGAGGGGGCTTTGAACTCGGGAACCTCAGGATCACAAATACAGTGCTCTTAACCATTGGGCCACGCTGTCTCCTGCAGAAGGTTCTCCCACAGTGATTTTTCACTGATTATATTCCGCCCTAATCAATTTGAACATTAAGACTGCTTTAGAGTTACTGTTCTTAAATGTACAGTATGCCTTCAAATCCTAGAACTGCATTCAATTTAATATGACGTTAATATATATGAACTGTAAAAGTTTTATCCATCAGTCATTTATATTTTTCCCTATTATCTAAACGCAAACTTTAAATGGATCAGCATTAAGTAATTTTCAACTGACAACATGCAATATTTTGAATTGTCAACCTTCAAAGCCTTGTCTTACAAAGATGTCGTCCGGGGGGGGGGTACTCTACAAAGTTCTATGCGGAGAGGCTCTGCCCAGAGGTCCAAACCCCTAGCCTTTTGTATACCATTTCGGCGACAGAAAGCTAACCCTTTCATTGAAGGTCCTACCTTTCATTGAAAAAAGGTATCCCTATCACCTAGCTGCTTAACTATGAACATTGCACTGATCTCTTTTCTAAACCCTTAAAATTCAGTTAATGATATAGCCATAAGGTATCTAAATGACAGATTTCCCCACCCTTTCATATACCTCAGCTTGCAAAATCCCTTCCCTTTTATATACCTGAGGCCTGAAAAGGTACCTCTTTCCGGCGGAGCCGCCCCGGCCGTATAAACCATTACAGGGAGTACCCCACGGGATGCAGTTCCAAATGTATTTTTAAAAACATGCTCTCAACCCTCACTAAGTACAATATCATTGAGATCTGATATTTTGATATATCAACCGTCAAATTTCTTCCTATTTCACCTTAGTACCGACTATGTGTAGATGGTTTTTTTTTAAAAAAAAATAATGCTCTCAAAACGCATTAACTGTTGTTTGTATTTCAAAAAATCATCTCAGTTTAGGATCTGTGGCTAAGGTACTTTTCATCAAAAGCAGTTAAAATCAGTTAACTTACAAGAGTGACCAAAACCTGATTTATCCTTATAATATCAATATATTGTCAGGCAAGCAGGCGTAAGGATAAAGAAATTTGTCAAATATTAGAGATTGTAATGACGAACTAACGAGTTCTCAGAACCAGCAGATAAAGCAATGTGCAGTGACAATCGATAACGGTAACAAAAGTTATTTTAAATTGTGGGCGATGCAAGAAATTATAACGTGCATAACTATAATACTTGCAGAAGGACAGATTTGCTCCTACCCAAACCCAAACTTAGCCTTGCAAAACGAACCTTTAGATATTCGGGCTCAGCTTTTTTTTAACCTCTTACCCCGTAGCATTCAAAACGCCGAGTCACTTTCTTCTTTCAAAGTTTCAATTGACGTCTACAATTTTTAAATTATATAGGAAATAGATTTTTATAAATTATTGCATGCTTCTTTATACTCTGTACTTTTAATTAT